GCACCCTGTCTGGCTGGGGGAGCAGGCCGGCTGATACGCACCCTGTCTGGCTGGGGGAGCAGGCCGGCTGATACGCACCCTGTCTGGCTGGGGGAGCAGGCCGGCTGATACGCACGGCGCATCTCGGTGCAACTGGCTCCGGACGATTCCAAGTCCCTGCCATAAATCTCCCTTTTTCTCTCAGCAATGCTTCCCTGCGCGTCCAAATCTTCCGTCCCCTTGGGGCACCATGGCAGGTTCAGAGGCGCTCCCCCTGCAAGGTGTGCCACTCACTGACTGGGGTGGGGGGCCTCACAGAAGGGCAGCTCCATGACGGGGTACCTCAGCGTCTCCAGGGCCTCACAGAAGGGCAGCTCCATGACGGGGTACCTCAGCGTCTCCAGGGCCTCACAGAAGGGCAGCTCCATGACGGGGTACCTCGGCGTCTCCAGGGCTTCACCGTATTTATGATCGAAAAGAATAGAGTTGTCAAGACCACATCAAACTGCGATGAAAATAACGCTGGAATCCTTTTAAAATGAGTGGCGGCTATTGATCTGCAGTCACTGCTCCCTCATTGGAAATGCAACCGCAGAGGGAAGTACCATTCCATGGACATTTCATTAAGTGGGCCAGGGATTCCACAAAAGCTGAATGACAGCGTGGCAAAGTGACCTGACAACGTTCTCCGTCTTGAAAATCCCTTCGACTTCTTGGGGTCGTTCGAAATAAACCCTGCAAAAGGTTCCGCCCCGAACTCCTTCAAAAGCTATCACCGTTACCTCGGAACTGCACGCCCACCAGTCTTTGAACCGTTTTTAACTTAGCCAACCAGACTTTTTGCCTCCATTGATCACAGAACAGGCACACTGACACATTTGCGCAGAGACATTAGTGAGGCGACTAGGTAACACAAATTTCACTCCCCAGGAAATGCCGTTGGTCTGTCGTCAACCCAAGAATGCAAACTCCCATTGTGGCTCTGGGATCACCCTAGTAAATGGATGACCATGACCAAACCTTAGCCTTGCCATGACACCTACTGCCACCAGTGGGAAGGCACTGGCCTTGCTGTCCTCCTGCTGCTTGACATATATGCAGGCTGAGGTCTTAATTACCTAATTCGAGCTCTCCCTTGAACTAATATCTTCCTCATTAGGACTAATTTTCCATCTCGTTGCACTTAGTTTTGGAATGAATAATTCCAAAACGGGTCAGTTATGTTCTTTCTTTTGTTTGGCAATGCTTTACATTAACTGCACCTTCATAATGCATTAACACAACATTCATAAGCAGCATGCAAGTACACCTTAACATCCTAACATACCTTAACAACTTCAATATACATTAAAAACATACAGTACATTATACGATAATAACAAACGTTCTATGAATGCTTTATAAAGGTGTACTGAATGTTCTATGAATGCAAGATGAATGCATCATGAAGGTGCATTTAATGTAAAGTGTTATCTTAATCACACACATATATATATATATATATGTATATTTATCATTACTGAAATGTGACCTAATTGAGCATAAAGTACTTCATAGTGCATATAAACTGGTCTGGAAGCAGTTTTCTCAGGGCCAGCTCTAGCTACAGGCGGAATAGGAAGCTGCCTTGGGCCCCCAAATTACCTGCATTACAGAGGAAATGAAATGATCATCAGTTTTCTTAGTGGGGGGGCTTCCCAAGAAAAGCTCTGCCTAGGGTCCCTGAAAAGGTAGAGTCGACACTGTTTATTCTATTTAAAAATCTTCATTTGATACTCCCTCTCCTTCATCCTATTTCCATTATTTATGGGCAAATGTTGTGTCTTACATTTTAATTGGCTACATCAAAGTGTTTATGTTAAAGTTGGTCACATGAGTATTGGCCCATATGTTATGACTCCAGGCCATACATATGCAGTGCCATCTTCTCACAACAGGAGCTCAGTACGTCTGCAATGAAGGTGGCCCAGTTTGGTGGCCATCCTTCAACCCGCATAATCGTCATCATCGACACCATCCTGTCTGAATCTAAAACCTACCACGAGAGTTCACAAAACCAAAATCAGACCTGTTGGCAAAGGAGATGTGCACGGTGACCGATCATGGCCATTTTGTCGTACAAGAACAACCACATTAGTATGGAGGACTGAAGATGGAGGATAGGGGATTGGGGAACGCCCGTATTAAAAAGAGATCTTTTTGTGCATTCTCCAACATCAAATCATACAGAGAGAAAATGTCCCTGGCCTTATTAAAAGGTAATGTGCTTCGAAGCACACCAAGAAAGATGTATCATTCTCCCCCCACCGCTCTGCTGAACCTCCATCTCCTCCGAGACGGCCCTGATGTATTCTGTCAATTTGTGCCTGATGAAAACGTCCACGTATTAAACCTTCATATTTCCCCGAGAATCAGCCAGACCCAAAGCAGCCACAGAGAGTAATGAAATACTCTCTCTTATTCATATGATTTTAAAATTTTTTTTTTTTTTTGGGTGGGGGTGGACTGGAGGAATTAGCTTTCTCACCCTTGTTATCCATTGTTTGACTCAAGTGTAGCCAATGCCAATAGATTTACCCAAGGGGGCTTTTTTGAGGTGGCCCCCACTTTTTACAAGAAGGTTATAAATAGCCCCAGCTGTAGATATCCAATTACGAGAACAGTGGAGCGTGTTCCCGGTGAAATCCGACATAAAGAGTAGGATCGTGAAAATATTAATATCAAGCAGATGCAACTTCTGCCTGAAACCTTTGATGGATCACAATTGCTGCTCCTTTGGATTCGCCCGCATTCCTCCCCGTTGTTTTTCCTCCACCACATTATCTGTTTGTTTATAGAGATTTATTATGAAACATAAGCCTTTTGATTAAGCTGGGACTTCACTCGCCCAGCCAACTGATAACTATCTGCTGCGAATGTTACAGCAGCCCTCGCGCTAATACAATAACTACTTTAAAAAAAGCACAAAGCTTAATTCGCAATAACAACCTTGTTATTGTGGGCTTTTAACAGATTAGAGCTGGTGGAAACGTTGCCTACACAGGCAGACTGGAAAGGCAAACAGCCGTTTTTGGTACCCCATTACGTAGACGAACCACTTTCAGTCCGTTTTTGAAATTATCGGTGGTTTTAAATTACACTCTGGCCTTGAGCTTATTGAGGCTACGCCGCTTGATATGGTAATTATAGGCACTGATCAAAATGCACAAATGGTACAAAGCGTGCCGATGAAACGGAAACCGTCTTGGATGCAGGAAATGCCGTGGATCATGAGGCGGTGAGTAAGATCAGGGGTAGGTAATAAACTGACCCAGGCCAACAAAATAAATGACAGAAGGAAGGACGGTACAGCTGGTGTTCTCATAGAAAGATCTGGGAAACAAAATAAAATGCAAGCATCCAGGCTCCAGTAAAACACCACCGTGTTTTAAGAGCGGCCAGTGATGGGAGGAAAAGAGCAAAGATCGATCGATCGATCGATCGATCGATAGATAGATAGATAGATAGATACATAGATAGATACATAGATAGATGGGAAACCATCAAAAATGGACTGCATTTATATAGCGCTTTTCTACTCCTACGAGTACTCAAAGCGCTTCACAAACAAGATTATGGCATTGGGTTTCAGGGACAACGGTAACCTGGTGATAAGGATCTGGTTAGATGAGAATGCCCCCCAGTGTCCACACGACCTGGGAACTGACTTCAGGTAGTGATTTGGTTGATCCTGAGCTTGGATTCCCTTTGCCATGGTGTTAGCAAGCTGTTCAAGTATCATTTTGGCTCATTCAACAGCTTAGAAAAGTCAGGGGCAGAGTATAAGAGAATAAGGAAAAATACTCCAATCCTCTGCATCCCAGACAGGTAAACCTCTTTTAACCACCTGAGTGGTCTATCACCACTCGTGTGCAGTGGAACAGTATTGAAGAACTTTGTTTTTGCAATTCCTCTGGTGACAGGTGGACAGCACTGCCATATTTACAGCCGCAGGCCAGAGTTGCTCCCATTTTGGCAGCTGTGGTCTCGCCACACCTCGCAGACAGAATGTTTCCACGCAGCGACTTCGAGTACTAACTTCCTGTTTTCTCTGACATGAGCCGAACCCAAAGTTCGAAGCTGTGTAGAGCAGTGGCTCGCAAGCTGACGCCGGGCTCAACCGTATGCTAAAGGCTGCAAGAAAAACAGCCACCATCCCCAGAAGTGCCAAGCTCACGCCACGGCACCTTCCGCACTCCTACAACGGACTCTTGGCAGAGCCTAACGTGTCTCACAGTTAAAAGAGAAGCAGTATGGGAAGCAAAATTCCGCAGAACACTTTGTTCACAGTTGCGTTGCTAGGAGTCACACGCATTCACTCCTACAGGAAATTCATTTCCATAAAGGGGAGTAAGAGAAAGCACCCTGGTACGCTTCACAGAGGCCCCGTAGGAGTGAGTGGGGTGGGGGCTACCAAAGGGCAACATCCATGCTGCATCCATCCGTCCCTGTAACGTCCCATATCCCTGTGACCTAGCCGAAGGCTGAGCAATGTAAATAGCTTAGCTAGGGCCAACCTTATCATCAGCCAATGATGTGTTTTGAATCGGTGTGTGACAGAGGAGGCGGCACTCAGAGGGCCAATCAGCTTTCAGCTAGGGCCCATGCCCCTACCCCATGGCTGGGGCTATTAGAAAAAGTCAGCAACTCAAATATCCCCCTCCCAGGTCCTTGAGACCTTCAGATTATAATAATTCCATTCCTTGCCTCCGACACATTTAATGATTTATGCATTTTTTTCTATGGCCGTCTTAGCTTGAAACCCAGGAACTTCAAGAGACTGGTAAATAATTCTCATCTCCTTCTCCAAATTTATTTTCTTAGTGTGTATGTGATTTTTTTTTTTATCCCCGTCAGTTCCAGCTGTCTTCTGCTCTCTCGTGTAAAGCGTCTTCATAGCCCCTTTGGCCTTCCGCTTCTCTCACATTATAAATGGCACATGTACAGCGCAGTGGGCAGCTCTGTTGTCTCACACCTCGGGGTTGCGGTCTTTATGTTCTGCCCGTGCTGTACAAGTTTCCTCCCACAGACATAAAGAGAGCCAAACAAAGGTCTCTAAATTTCTCAAAATGTAGGATCATGTATCTGTGTTGTCCAGTCACATCCAAAGTTTACCCCAACCTTGTGCCCTTTGTGCCCAAAGACCCAAAACCTTGATCAGGATATGTAGTTAAAAAATATAGGGATGGACATGTGTCAGATGTAAACCGTGGGAAGTGACAAAGTAGCATTACTATATATAGCTCTTCATCTCTTATTATCTCTATCTCCCCCTTCATCTCTGTAGATCCCAATGCCTTGGAACAGAGAGGACCAGACCATGCGCTGATCGGAGGGGTGGTCGCCGTGGTCGTCTTTGTCACCTTATGTTTAATAATTGTGCTGGGACGATACCTGGCGAGGCATAAAGGTACGACCTCAAAAAAAGAAACTCATAAAATATTAGTCAAAGGAATAATTAATGCACTAATAAAACTACAAATGCATGTTGTATTCAAATGATAATTAGCATTTAATCACGGCATCAAATTGTCTGGCACAAATATTTATGACACGCACCCCTTCTCTCTCTCTCTCCGTGGATTGGGCCGGACAGGAACGTACCTAACGAACGAGGCCAAAGGAGCGGATGACGCACCCGATGCAGACACAGCCATCATCAATGCCGACGGCAATCATGCACACGCAGAAGAAAAGAAGGAGTACTTCATTTAGACTGGTCCCCCTGCCTCCCTCCTGTCGATCTGCGTAGGAAAGCCCGCATTCAGCTCAAGAGTCCCCTGTCCCCCTCACTTTTGCCCTTTCCGTTAATTCATTCTCTCCGACCTGCGTCTTCTCAAATGGCCAGTTTTTACGAGCAGCTAACTGCTGAAGACATCAATCTTTTTCTATCCACGCTATATCTGTTCAAAAATCCCCAACCTACAAGAATGTGTCGGGGCCATTCGAAATATGCCCAAATCTCCCCAGCTCACCAGCCACACCCCAATTTTGTGGGCCATAAATTTTACAGTGCCTAAATATACAGACATCCATTGAAAATTCAGTCAATGCCTTCATTTATGTGAGTGATGTAACCCGATGATAATCACTATTGTGTTGATCAGAGAAGTGAAGAAGACTCATATGGTTAGAGCTATCCTCTCGTTAACTGAACCCACTTTTATTTTAACTAGATTACATATTTAATAACATTGTTCCTCCCCGAGCTGTTTTAATAGGAAAAGAGTTACGTGTATATAGATTACAACATGGAAATCAATTTTAGTCCCACAACTTTGAGGCAACACTTGCTAAAAGGATAAAAACAAAAAGATATAGTATTATAGGATGTAAAGCTTAAGGCTTGCTGGTATAAAAATAAGGATCTGTTTGACCTGAGACTACAGTGATTAAGACAGCAGATTCATCATAAAACCTGAGGGGTAACATGTAATTCAGCAGGCGATGGAGGCAATTGTACAATTTTAAGTAAGCCAGTAAGTATGAAAGGCCACCATTTGCACCATAATCTTTTGTCTTACTCTTGTTGTTTTGTCTGTATATTCCTGCACTGTTTAGCCTATTCACCACTGACATATGATGTTCTCTTACCACTGATGGGACAGTGACTTGAATAGTGGTCTAAAAATCAGTCAGCGATTTACCGCAGGCGGACATGGAGGTTCAAAAGGAACTCATCCTTTTGACATTTCTATTAACTGCATGGCAGATGGGCGGAGTTGCCTTCCTTCCTGGAAGCCAATAGTGATGGCTAAATGAAGCTTCATGAACCATTTGCTGTATTTTTTGACTGCACTAGATGGTGGTCTTTGCTTACTTGTGGCATTGTTTGAGTCCTTTTTTTGAATGGAGACCGCCATCTAGTGGAGGTCAGAAAATACTGCAAGTGGTTCATGACGCTTCATTTGACCATCACTAGTGGACACGTAGTTTGACCTAAATCGAACGCATTTAGAAGGCGAGTTCATAAAGTGGATTATCGCATAGAATGAGAACGAGGGGAAAAAAACAAGCACTTGCAGCAACTCTAAGAGAACATTGTATGTTAGTTGGTACAGATCCCCCCCACCCCCACATCGTTTGATAATAAAATAAATAAATTCCAAAAAAAAATTAAACAAAGAAGCACAAATACTATGGGAAAAAACAGCATCACTTTGCAAACCAATGGACTGACTCAGGATTCCAAGATGAGTCTAATTTAGGAATTAGGCCGTTCGAACCCGTGGACGCAAATTGGCTCCCCAGCTCACTCCAGTCAAAACATACCATCAAGCTGTATATCAAACATAGTAAACAGGACAAAGTCTTTTTAAAGATGCATCTGAAAACTGTCTTTTGTTTATACGACAAATAAGCTCCCTTGTCAATACAGCTGTATATTATGTCTGCTGAATGTGGGTTAGTGAAAATTGTTGTTAGATTTTGGAACCCCTCATACCTTAAAAATTTGTATATTAGCCAATTTATCTATTGAAAATAATCTACAGATCTTTTCAATTTGTCATTTGTCACTGCTTATATTAAATAAGAAATATGACAAACGTGTTTTCTTTCAGCGCAAGGCATGTATATACTGTGTAAGTACTAAACTTTGGTAATACATATTTGTTAATTTTTTTTTCCCTCCAAGCTTTCATTTCAATTTATTTAATTTCAGATTATTTCATTCGGCATCGCTAGTTGGAATAAAAATGTTGGTCTCTTAACATCTTTGGAGAGTGCGATTCACCTGCTGTTTGTGTGCTCTGTGCGGATAGCATGGTTGTAGAAGCATAATCCTGTAGAGGAGTCAACACAAACACCCGGAGAACACAGCCGGTGAGCTCTCAACAGTGTTTTCTGAGAATTTAGCGGTTCTTGGCCACCACCGTCACGGCCGTGGCTTCCTCGCGCATGCCGTGGTGAAATGCTGCATCACTGTGTTTCCTGTGAAATGCAGACAGGTTAAAAACCTATTAGTCACCGAAGAGATCAAATGGAAAAACTGTTGAATCATTCGTGGTTTTTTTTTTCCTTTAAATGATGTTATATATTATATACTGGTATAAGTCCATGTACATTTTCCACTAGTTGGCCATAACACAGGATTGGGGGGTGCTGGAAACCAGTTGCCGTGAAGGGAAATGTTGTGTAAAGAAAGGTGATATAAATATTGGTGAGAAGGTTATGCTGGTAGGGTGACCTAGGCCTCAGTAAGCTGCAGCAGCGTTATTGGCGTTGCGCTTGCAAGTTCCAACCAGCAAGAGGGTCCATCGTTTGATCTTAGAGGACTTCTTTAAATCGACTTCTTGACACAAAAATCCACGGCTGTTACAAAGCTAAGGTACAGAGACCAACATATTTTGAGCTTTTGATTTCCAGCCCCGCTATCCATGTGTCCATGTATCATTCTAGGTGTATCCATTTCTATCACATGCACTCTGATTGAAGATGGTACAAGGTTACCTTGTGTTGAGAGGGTCTATGTATGTAGCTTGTTCAGGACCTGTAAGAGTATTGGTTTGCTGGTTTCGCAATGAAGTCCAGAAGTCTTACCTAAATGTAATCTACTTCAAATCGAAGTCATTCATGAAAAATGTACCAGAATAAATCAAGCAGCTTCAATATAACAATCACCGCAATTGCCTTTGTGTCTTCAAAAATGTCAACAATGTTTTGAGCTGTAGGTCCCCTTATGGTGTACCTGAAGAGCTTACATGAAAAGGAGTCCAAACATGTTAATACAGTATTTTTACTTCTTAAAGCATGCTCCAGCTTTTTTTTAACTGAGTCATTTTATATTTACTTATTTTCTGTTGATTTAAGGATTTTTTTTACAGTTTTTTGTTAATTTGTTTTACTTTAATTTGCTATTTTCGTTTTGGAATGTTTGACTTGTGTGTATTTTCAGTGTTGAACTGTCTTATTTCCAAAGCTTTGAAAACAGCACTTGTAAAAAAAAAAAAAAGGAAATGGCAAAGGTATAGAGTAAAGAGTGCGCAAAAGTGACCAGATATCCTGTCCTGTGTTATGCGTTTTCAGGGCTGGGTCTGTTTCGGAAAGTTAATAACGACAATGCAAATATTCCAAGTACATGTGTTTAAGCAAAATATAAAGACAACCAAAAGACAATGGGCCTCATTCACCAACCATTCTTAAGAAGAATTTTCTTCGTAAAACCCACTTACGCAGTTTTCATGAAGATTCTGACGTTTACCAATGTTTTCGTATTTGGGATTTCTTCGCAGGTAAGAGCAGAATCTACGCATACTCAAGTGCACACTTACACACATTGAGTATTGACAAGTTTGTGCAAAATAATTGCTTATTGCGTGTTCTTCAATTCTACTGTTGTATTGAATTCTAGGTTTTAAATTACAAAAAATATTTTGGCCATGTATAATATTTAAAAATAATTATTTAATAATAACAATTGTAATGATCAATTATTTTATAATAATTAAACAATAAGTATTAAAATATTACAATGAGTAACAGCATCCCATGCATTTTTGTGCTTTGTGCTTCTATTTGTCTTTATATATCTTAATCCACTATAGATGCTATTAAATATAGCGAGTTTTTAAACTAAAGTTTCTCCTAATATTTGGAGTCCTGTGCACAACCATCTTAAGATTTTTGTTTGGGCATTCTTAACTTCTCGGTCAACTTTCCTTCTTAATTCTGTGGGTGATTTCTGAGTGAGCTTACGGCACCGCAGTCTCATCCCCTTTCATGGGGACCGGCGGGGCGTTTACCTCTGCTAATTAGGAACAACTGGTGCGCGCTTTCAATTTGCGAGGACAATGGGGTTCGTCGTTATAAGAACACATTTGCGACTAATTCTTGAAAAACACATAGTGAATCTGACGTGGACATTTATTCAAACCTTCTTAGGCTCTTCCTCAAGAACAAATTTAAGAAAAAACTTAGGATGATGGTGAATGAGGTCCAAAGGCCCAGGTAGGCTCTCCGATCGCCAAAAAAACACAAATATCTCCTGTTGCTATGCTGTTAAGCTTAAAGTCTTTACCTGATCTTAAGTCTTAGAACTATGAATGTACCGTGGGGCATAAGAGTTGTCCAAAGTGTAGCTGTAGCGATATGCTAATCATAATTTTAAGCAGTAGAGGTTTTTATAGAAAATGCTGGAATCAGGCATGGTTGTTTTCTGTACTGTCAGAATGAAAGGATAGAAAGCGATACATCTGTGAGATGTGACTGAGAATTTGGCTTCACAGTGAAGTTCTGTATGGCTTCAGTGACTCACCAGCTACACCACCTTAGGACAGTCCGATCTGACAGTTATAGTGTAGGCTCTTTGTAATACTGTGGTCCCTTGTACTTCTGTGCTGTTTATGTTCCACTTGAGCAGTGTGCATGCCAAGCTGTAATTATGATGTCATTATATCACCGCATCACTTAGCAGCAATAACCACAAATTTACTGAGATGTAAGGTGTCACACAAAAGGCCATATATGTACTTATTTCCAGAAGAATGTACATAGTTTGCTTGTTGAACATAATACCAAGCTGTTCATGCAGAACTAAAACTTGTCAAATAATTCCAACCTTAGTTCTCAAGTTTTCTTTATGTGTTGTTTATGTTCTAATAAGATGAGTCTTTTTTCAATAATGAATTGAATTAAGTTGCTGGAGAACCTTCAAGGTAGATGTATGGTTTTCAAATTTCCTATTTAAGCATTCATTTGAATTAAATTAAAATGGAAATCAGTGTAATATTGAAAAATGAGGGAAACCAAAAATATTCAGCTACAGCTGCAATTGGAATGTTTGTTTTTGTTTGTTTTTTTATGCAAAATCTACTTTCTGTAGTTAAAATTGGTTGCATGATTCCTGTAGAAACGTTTTCCTCCTTGCCGCCAATCCCCCATGCTTAGATGAAAGAATACAGCTGAAAGGATGAATAGATGAAGATAATATGATTCATATTCCCCTTTCCCATATCTGTATTAACACTTGCTGACATTAAAACAGGACAGGGATAACAGGGATAACGTCCATCACAATGTTCTTTACCATTTTTTTTTTTCCACCTCAGCGGTATGTTTGCTTTCATCTTCAAAGCTGTGACACTGGTTGCCCCCCCCCCCCCCCACCCCCGCCTGTCTCTTTTCACTGAGACTGTGTCTGTTTGATTTCTTAAACCATCACAACGTCAATAAAAATGTAGTGTTTTCATCACGCGGGCTTCATTTTTCCTTCCCCTTTGCTGGGTTCCCGATGCTTGTCTCAAGAACGGTTTCATGCGAGCGCATCTGGAACCCGTGCAGAAGGGCCTTCGTTTGCTTATCGTGTTAGTGCACGGTTTAACTTTGGGGTGGCGTGTTCAGAAACGATAAGAAACGGACAACGTGCAATGTGGCAAGCCCGAAAATGAAGACACGACCATCACAATATTACGACTTGCCCATTTTTGCACACACCGAAGGAGTCCAAAAGATTGTTAGCGACATCATTAGCTCTGGCTAACAGGCCAATGGCACGAAGGACTCCCTGTTCTTGCACATCTTTTGAAACTCCTTTATCATTATTCTTTAATATTTCACTATGACCTCAGACATGAGTGACACTCTCCTCCTGCATTGCTATGGGATGCAGTGGTTTCCCGTTCTGTCGCCTGTACCTGAGACTGTCTCATGGGAGGAGAGGGTTAATAATACCTCCATTTAGATAAACAATAGGTATGTTCCTGGCAATATATTTCAGCGTTGTGTTTCTCGCTCGAATTGTCAGCTCTGAGCGGCTCCTTTTATTGAAACCTCTCCAGACTCTGTATGTCCTGGCCTCCATGTTGCCAGTTTTACAGGGGCACAGCTGTGGAAAAACAACGGCCCCCTCCCCTCAGGGCTTGCATTTGGGGAAATAAAGGGACGAGTTGCCCCAAATGTTAGGTTTTCTTCTCTGGTTTTAGTAGGAAGACACCAGTCCAGCCTTCTGTAGGACTGTGTCGCTTCTGCCGCGGTTCACCACCATGTTTTCCTATGCGACTACGAGACTTTTGTTCTTTTCTGTACCGCTGGAAGCTACATCCCTCGAATTATATAAAATTAAGGCATTCTAGATGCAAAAAACTGAAACAAGACAGAAGGAAAAACTCTGACAACCTGGCAAAAATCACAAGCACCTCACTCGTTGAGGAGGCGCGGATCATTTAATTAGACATGTTTATTTTAAACCTTCTTACTATAATCATAATCGGTGCACTTTTTTTTTTTTATGAGCGGGAATTCACTTCGTGCTGCTCACAACCATACAGGGCCAATTTTGACCATAAGGAATGCGGCCAAAATGCCGTTGGAAAACCAGCCTCTCGCTTCCGTGGGGCAACCGAACAGCTCTGTTCACCACATCGCAAACTCAAACCCAAGGATGCACAGGGCTTCCATACCCATAGCAGAGTAGGTTAAACGGTATATACAGTCCATGTTTTTGCTCCCTCCCAGCTCCCAGTCAGGAACACCGAATACCTGGTACAGGGAGCTGGAAGCAAAAACGGAGACTGTCCGGGGTTCCCTGAGGACAGGGTTAGCAAACACTGATCTAGCCTATGTTTTTTTGGCTATTTGTAGAATCCTTAATTTTTCCCCTTTTTGGGCTGCTGTGGGGCAAACCCCTCCCCCCCCCCTTGTCTCCACGGCAGTATAAATGTATACTGTATATATATACACTGTGTGTAGGTATGTATATATAATATAATATAAATAATAAATATAGCCTATATAATTACTATATCGGGGTCATATGTAAAGTTTGGATTTTTATGTGTTGCTTCATTGATCTTTTGTGCTAGTTTGAGCCTCTCCTGCTTACGTCTTAGGGGCACCGTGAGTCAGAAAAAAACCTTTGAGCTGCGCTTGTTCGCTCAGTCGGAAAGATGAAACCTCCGCCTTCAATACGATCCCATCCCCCCGAACAGGTGAGGCTAAACCTCTGCCCCTCCTTTCATAAAGAGGTAGGTACTGAGTCTCTGAAGAACCTGTGGACATCAGCAGAGTCCAAAGCAGCCCTGTCTGGGTGCTGATTAATGCCAGCAGGTTCACAACTCAGATACATTTGCTGAACAAGGAGCCCAACTCCTGATAACGCTGGCATTGGTCCGGAGGTAAAGCCGGTTATAAGCAGGCATTGGCACCCGGCTTTGCCACATAAATGCTGTCAGAAATCAGAAAACCCCCAATGCTAAAGAATTTCAGACCATGTTGATGGACCTGGCAGTACTTGGCTGTATCAAAACAGCCAGTTTCTGCTCAGCAACTTGGCATCCGGCTGTGAGATACAATTATTTCTGTCTTGGAGGTTTTGCTTGCCAGTCTCTTCCTTTATCCATCTCAGTTGGGAAAGAAAGGAAATCAATTCAGTGCCTGTGCAAATGTCCTCAGCCTTGCATTTCATTTATAAATTTTATATATTTTTTCCATGGTCTCTGGTATTGGGTTAAAACGTTGAATAGGTGGTCGGTTCCTCCAAGTGGTTTGGAGGGTATGCAAGCGACCCGCTAACGGAATTTGACTTATGCTTCACTAACCACCAGCTGGGCCTCGTGGCTACATGCAACAGTTATACTGTAGACTATCAGGGTGGCATGATATCAGCACCACCTGCTGGAGTTTTTTGTATCCCAGTAATCTAGCTCAGTGTTTCCCAACCCAGTCCTCAGGGAATCCCGGACAGTCCACGTTTTTGCTCCCTCCCAGCTCCCAGCCAATCAGAAATCCCAAATACCTGGTACAGGTGCGCTGGGAGCTGAGAGGAAGCAAAAACGTGGACTGTCCGGGGTTCCCTGAGGAATGGGTTGGGAAACACTGATCTACCCTATGGTTTTTGCATATTTGTAGAATCCTTAATTTTTCCCCTTTTTGAGCTGCTGTGATGCAACCCCCCCCCCCTTTTTTTTTTACCTGCACATCCTAGTCTCCATGGCAACACAAGTCCAGGGGTGCATTTCCCAAAAGCCCCCTTTAGCACCTTATATGGTTGGACCTAT